TGAAATCAATTCACACATTCATGAAACGGTTTGTTTTTGTAATTTCATCTGCAGATTTTAGTTTAACTTTGTGCTACACAATATCGAAAATACGTGCTTAGTCTCAGTAAATCGATTCATCTATCACAGATATATTTAGTACCTTGTAATATTGTTTACCAAGAAGAAGGCATAATCTTGATTTCTTTGTTTACGTTCTAAGTTAAGCAACTCGAAAATATCGTATCTACACGATAGAGTATTTGATAATCTTCTCTTGAAGCACGACAATTTTCATAAAAAACAATCGACCTTTCCCAATGGTATTTGCTTAAAACAATCACAACATACATTTTTTTCTCCATTTCCCGAATCATCAGAGAATTCGAGTTCACGGACTGGTACCGTTATTCTAGCTTGCATTATTCTGTGTGAAAAAAAAGAATACTTTAGATAATTGTCGTTTACTATATAATAGACTCTAATGTGCACAGGTCAAGTAGAGAAAATATGCACATGAAATAAGAGGGTATCATTCTCATAAATTCATGACTTGTACTCTTAGACAGTTATTCTATCAAGTATTTTGATTTTTGTCGATAAAATATTCAGAGAAAAGATCAGAACCATAGTTAAGTTTTCATATGAGATTGTCTCATTGATAAATATTTGATAAAGAAAATAAGTTTCAATACAATATTATTAGAATCGAAAAGTAAAATATAATGAAGCTATTGTAATAATTACAAAAGTCATAAGTTCCATAAATTATGGTACTCGAAAACAGTAAAAAATGCTCCTATTCTGAATGTAGACTCTAAACCAAGCTATTCTAGAAAGATCGTTAGAATATTTTCAACAAGTTCAGAAAGAATATTACAGTATCGAGAGTAGTTTGGTAAAGTAGCATTTTCATGTGAAAGATTGTTCTTTTAAGAACAAGTCAACAAAAAATATGTGCCAATGTATATGTGAAGTTATGATACTATTAGATATCCTTTTTCTACAACAAAATATCAATATTAGGTTATATTTCGATACACTAGCTAGTTTTTATATGTTACTGTGGAGACTGTTTGAAATCGAAAGTGAAAACAAACTTTTGAGGTGCTCTAAAACTTGTTCTTTTTATCGAGTTGGTCGTATTTTCTTGAGTCAGATATTTATCTTGCTAACAATTCAGAAAAAAGCAATTATCTTATCTCTTGAATAAAGTAGTTGAGAAGATAAAATTTTGTCTCCGTAATTTATCACGAAAACGTTGTTGAAACTGCAGGTTCATCTCAGAAGACTAGATGATTACCACAAGATATTGTTTTTTTTGAGCTTTTTTCTCAAATGCATTCTCTATTTGGGTGAGAAAAACATAATTGAAATAAGTGCATTTTGAACTATTGCTCATTCAAAAAAAAAAGGCGAGTGGGTATTTTTTTGAATAACTTTTGAACGGATTGAACTGGAGAGTTGCAATTTTCACCATTGGAAAGAGAAGATGAAGACGCATTGAACTATATATGAAAACATTTTCTGACTACTTTCCTAACAGTTTTAGTCAAATGCTTTGAAAAAAAATGCTTTTTTCTCCAACGTTAAAAAAAAGTGATTTTTCGTCAAAAAAGCTACAAAAAGTCAAATGTTTCGATTATTTTGTTGAAAAAATTGGGTGATAAATTCCACTCCAATGGCTAGGAAATCTTACTGGTAGTTGTTAGGAATAGAATTTTTATATAGTTTTATAGCGCTTCATTTGATGGTTCTAGCACACTTCTGAAAACCAATAGATTAATATCCCGTCTATGAGAGGCATGCTGTATTTCTAGAAGCTTTATGCAAAACTGTTAGAAAAGTAGTCAGAAAAACGTTTTCATACATAGTTTGATGCGTCTTCATCTCCTTTTTCCAATGGCGAAAACCACAGCTCTCTAGCTCAATCCGTTCAAAAGTTATTCAAAAAATACTCACCCTTCTTTTTTTAAATGGACATTAGTTTACGTCTTTATAGGTTTGTGTTTAGAATGTAAGTATCATTTGATTTGTAGGACCCTATCGAAATTAATAACTGATCTCGTTTAGCATCCTGAGAAAGATGGATGCAGAATTTTCATTAAGATTTTAGTGGGTTCTTACTCAGGATTTGTTCAAGGTTTGTAAATCTTTGGATCACGACACAAATTTTAATACCAATGTTGAAATAAGTCTCAACAATAAGACGACATAGGAGATTTTTTCAAATTTTTATCATGCTATTTTGCAACGATCCATCGCATCTATTTTAATATGAGCATTAAATGCATAACATGAAACATTTCCTAATATTTCACATACAAATATTGTTACAGACCAAAGTAATTTATTTATATGAAAGATGATGAAGAAATTGAAGCTCTACAAAAATGCTCACTTAATTTTTCGCATAAGTTTTCCTTGTTACCACCACCTTTAACCCTTTGGGACCGGTGGTACAAGGATTATGCCACCTATTTTCCAGTAAGGAAAATGTTTGTTTCTCATAAAACTGTTATCATCTGTAAGATAATAGGTCGTTCCAGCTACCATCGCATGCGTATTTTTTCTCTCTTTCTTCCTGTCATATAGATGCTTCTCAGATCTTCTCTTTCTTCCTGTCATATAGATGCTTCGCAGATCTTCTCTTTCTTCCTGTCATATAGATGCCTCTCAGATCTTCTCTTTTCTTTCTGCTCTATACACTCACGCCATGATCACTTTCTTTCTTATCTTGATGTATTGTCATAAGGCTTTTATGTAATCATTTTGATCCACATACAACAAATTGACGAAAGAACCATTCTTCAATTGAAAAATAATTCTGTTAAACGATGAGCATCATTTCAAATGTCCAACTATGATGGTCAAACAACTCAAAACATACCAGAAGTGTTTTTACGAAATATTCCACTTAAATTTTAAGAATTCTAGAACATTCCTCGTCAGATTTTGCCTTTCAATGCATGCTTGAGAGTTTTAGGCGAAATATTGGGATACACAACTAATAAGTAAAAGTAAAAACTATTGGAAATATTGAAGAAAAGATTGTGCTCTGCTACTAGATAATGCTGTCTATCAATGAACTATGAATGTTATAGAAATTTCGGGTTCAGTTACTGTTGAACATATTAGACAACAATTTGTTCGTATTTGTGAAAATTTATAAATGCTTGGCGCTGACAACTAGCAACAGTATTATATAATATTGAAGTCATTCGAACATTATCTTCGGTTTATGATGAATCATCATTAAAATGTTATCTTATAAAGAATATTACTAATGAATGTAGGAGAATAAATGAGTCTCCTCTTACTTTCTCAACGATTCTAACAATCATCCTTGCTATGAACTAAACTTTCGTTAGAAGGAATTTTTCTTCAATTCTGGACAAAACCATATTGATGAGTATTTTTCTCTAGATAAATCGTCTAAATAAGAAAATATGGTTAAAACAGTGAAAAATGATAGTTCTCTATTGAAAATTCAATGTACAAAATATTTATTTAAAATATGGAACTATATAGAAACAGGCTAAATCAGAACGTCTGTCTTTCTACTACAAGGCGTTCTCTTTCTTGCTGTTGATTATCAGTTTGTTCTAGAACACATTTTTGTCACAGACAACAATTTTTACAAATTCACGCGAATAGTGAAGAAAGTTGAGTCATCTATATATAATGTATCAAAAACCTCTCCAATTAATTGTAAATAGATGTCAAAGTCTTTCATATCTGTATTTAAGTTTTTTAATAAAAATTCTATCTGACGATTGGTTCTAGTTGAATAAAAGAACGACCATAACTACTCAAGCACATTTTCAGACGAGTTTTCTTACACACATTGTTGTTCTGGTTCTTGTATGCACCCCTTGTAAAAAAAAATAGGAAAGAAAAAGGCAAGTGACAGAACGCAAAAAGAAAACCATAGAGATGAAGGAAAAAAAGATAAAAAATGCGTTGAGAAAATTCTAGAATAGTCTCGATTATGCTACAAAACTGTCGTATTTTGCTCACATATATATACGTGTTGCAAGTTCCTATGCACATTCTCTATTCAAAAATTTTCATCTAAGACTATAGAAAACAATTTTATGGCTTTCTTACCGATTCATCGTTATCGTGTCAACGATCCGTTTCGACAGCTGTTCGGTAATCAACTCGAGTTCTTCGATCCATGGCAGGATTACAATGCGACTCAAGCGACTGTATCGAATGCGTTTCGATGGATCAATGAACCACTTTGTCTTACCCGTAAACGCTTGAAATCGAGACTTAAAGACAAATTTCGTATACAACTTAATGTAGACGGTTTCAATCAAGACACAATTCAAACGCAAATTGAAGGTAAAAAATTAGTTGTCCAAGCCAAATATGATGATCGTCAAATCAATGGTGATTTCAATCATCGAGAAATGCGGAAAAGTTATGAACTACCTGAGGATGCTGGTATGTTATTTGCAAGTAGTGTAGTCTAACAGAGTCTGATGGAGCTCAATCTTCTTCGCGGTTACAAGCTTTGACTATGCAAGAACGATACACTAAACTTCACATAAATTACAATAAAGATAGGGTGAGGTCTGGTTTGCACAGAGACGTGAAATTTGCGAGTGAAGGATTTTCCCATCCTGCTTTTCGTAGTACTCACAGAAAGTCTTTTTTTCAAAAAATATATTATCAATCCGTGTAGGAAAAATTTTATTACTGAGATGCCGTTCTATTACATTTTTCGAATACTTTTCACATTATGAACTTGTTTTCTTCAATAACTCTCCAAGTTAATCGATTGGGCCGTATAACTATCATCAATGCTACAGTAGTAAAGGATGAATGATTTTGGCTATTGTCATGAGAAAGATGAGTGCTAATATCATTTTGTCGATGTTTTTATCACCTAAACATAATCATGATTTAACAAGTTGTTCCATTCAATATGAAAATATAAAATACAAAAACAAACATTAAATAGTACCATACAAATGAGCTTGTTCTTATTTTATGCATACTGAAGTCGGAATTTACTGACTAAATTTTGACAAATATTTTATAAAGTGTCTACTTTGGACGACATCATCTCCATATTCATTGGATCCTTGAAAATGTTGTCAGTTGGAGTACAAATATTCTTTTTTAGTTATCGAAATAGAAAATTTTACAGATGAAAAAAATATGTGTCTCTGTGCGACCATTTAAAAATCATACTAGTATTGAAAAACTCTTTTTCATTTAATTCGATGATAATTGTTACCGATTGGACCTAGGGGTCAGGCATACGAGCTCTCCAAATAAACCACCAAGAAGAGGGACTAAGCTCTGTCATCAGTCGAATCTTGACTACGCCGCAATTATCTTTCGATTATTTATTTAGACTCTATTTGTTTTGATAGATGTAAACAATATTGTGTCGTTCGTTACGTCGAATAACATGCTAGTCATTGAAGTACCGATTCGCAATCCAGAAGTTGAACGTCGTCTAGTAGAAGCACAAACTGAAGCAAGCAAAGAATTGGTTCCATTTGGACAATATCGTAATCCAATTTTTGACCATGTTGGCTTTCTGGATAACTGCGGTTTCCATCAACGTATTGTTGCAATGGACAACAATGGAAAAAAACAATTGCAAATCTCGTTGCCCATAAAAAATGTCAATCCTAATTTGATCAACGTTTCGGTGAAAGACAATCAATTGATTGTTCAATGTGAACACAGTTACAAGGATGGGAACTGTACAGAACGGTCATTCTTTCGAAAATCAATAACGTTACCACCCGGTACACAGGTCGATCAAGTGCAATCACAAATAACTGATGATGGCGAGCTAAAAATCGAAGCACCTTACATCGAAATAATTCAACAATGAAAGCTATCAAAAAAAAACAATATAACATTTAGAACTGTAGTGTATTGATCTTGAAATTTTTAAAGGGTAGATGCAGAACTATATCAACATTAATGGTCGAAGGAAAATGATTAAAATAAAATAAATGTTTTACAACATATGCAGGAAACACATTCTATTTAATAGGCGTTTAGACATGAAAATTGTAAGGGTCACGAATCTTTCTTTAGCAAGAGATCGATGCGAAATTTAAGCATTTGGATATTGCATCAATAAACAATTTGCGGTTTTTTAAGTTAGTATAGAACAGCTATTCATTAGATTGCTATCTAAAAATAAATAAAATATAAAAAGTAAATACTCAAACTGTAATCCATACTGGCTGACTCCGCTAGCTTCTCTTTATTCGCTTGAAGACTCAGACAAGTTCAGCAAACTCGATCTTTTATGAATTTAAATACAGTATATTAACGCTTACTAATCTTGCAGAACTTACAAAAACAAAGTCATACTTACAGATACAACAGAGTGAACTATGTTCTATCTATTGAGATAGCAAACTAAATGTAACATAGATGAACCTGTACTCTTCTTTCTTGAATGTCAGTCATTTCTCTCGATACAGTTCTCAATGCTAAATGAAATATGTATAAAGTATATAGATGATCAATCATTTTCCATAGACTTCTCAGCACATTGTGGACTGAGGAGAAGGATTATGGATGTGAGGATAGATTATGACTGTAGGAGATTGTCTTATCTTTATCGACACTCTCTTATCTATCTCTCCTGAATCCATTTGATAACAACAACAATATCACATGAATAATTTTATACACAAATGACTATCAAGTTCATGAATCGTATCATTTGTTGAACTAAGCTTTATTTCAATTCACAAACTTCTCGTCTTTTGTTATATCTTCGTTTTTTATAGAAACGTTAATAGCTCATATGTCGATACTAAGAATAGACTGAATACAGAGTATGACAATGACAGCAATCGTATTAGAACAAAGTGTAATACATGATGAATTCGGCTGTTCCAGTTTCAAACTTTTGAGAAGAATGCCAAGACGACGGCCAGCTTGAGCGATTCGTTTGTCGATCAACGAATAATGTCGTTCGAAATAGTGTTGACTCAAATTGAACGAATCATTGAAATGTTGATTGTTGTCATCGATATAGATTTGCGAACAGACAACTTCAATATCTTCTCGAATCCATGCCTTGTAATCTTTGTCACTATTTATATCGGCGGTAGACGATTGATTGATCATAAGCGAATAAAGATAATTAAAATAGTGCTCCACATTAGATGCAAAATGTTTATGCAGGCGATACATTAAAATATCATTATCCCACAACCAATGAAGATCAGTCTGTTGAGTTGCATCCATAAAGTAGCCTATAAATAGATAGAGTAATTTGAACTAACATTGTCTGGGACAGTTTACTAGAAGATTGCGAAATCATTCAATTGAGTTTCGCACGAGAAACTATTGATTGAATTCGTTCTCTGACTTCGATCAGTAGTTTTGAATTTGAACATTATTGAGCATTGTATTCAATACAATTTTTATGCGAAACCAATCGTGTTTTGTCAAAGAATTTTTCCATATTAGGTAGTAAAAAAATGTCTTCTCATCATGAAAAATAAGGCCTTATTAATATGTTGAATATGACAATTTTTTAAAAAAAAGTGATATCAGATATAATGGAATTAGTAAGTAACAAGATCCAACAATGCAGAAAAAGGAAAATTTTCTTATGCTCTTTTATGGAAAAGAATGTGACTTATGTATTCGATTATTTTACAGTAATGCGTTCAGCATGACTAAGTCAAGTGAATTGTGCTTTCCAAAACAAAAGCTTACTGTGCTAGTCTTTTAGGAATAAAGTATTAAATACAAAGGATTTGTCCTACTCGTAAATGAAAGTCCTATCCATCTTGATCACATTATACTTCATCATCAGATAGGCTGACATATCGAAAGTACTGTTAGGATCTGTGAAGCTTGAAAATCTTTTCTGTTGTACATGTCTGGCTGGTTGTCACGATATGTTGTAGCAAGAAAAAGTGGGGAGAGTTTTCTCACTATATGCTTCAACGATCATCATCATCCGTGTTGCACAAAACAAGAGATTTTTTCAAGAGAACATTACATGTTTTAATTCGTCACATATGTAGTTGGTAATATTTGAAGTGATAATAAAGAATTCATATGGCTGCTCGCCATCTTAGAATTACTAGGCTTCCTTATCAACTCTTTGTATATGTGGACGATAATTTCCTTTTTCTATCTTAAAATAAATTGATATATAAGGAATATGATCATCAGAGGTAATTATCTAATCAAAGGAACTACTAGAAACCTGTATCTATTGCCGACAGATGTTTTATAAAACGCCATACTCGAAAATACCTTTTCAGTTTGTTATCTAATGTTCAGAATCAATAAATTGATTATTATCAGTAGTATACTATTCACCAGACAACAATTATTGCATTTTAGACGGATTCGAACAGATTTATCGTGAAAAAATTTTATTTATGTTTCTTACGAAAAATAGTTACCTTTGAGCGTAGTACCACCTTTGTCGCCAATGAATCCGGCATGTAACGGTTGATGAATATCACCAACAAAATGAAGAAGAAAGAATAGAGCCTCTTGTCGTTGTGTTTCATCAATTAGTCCACCTAACGGAGCGACGATACGCTTCGTATAATTTTTTAACGCACCTTCAATACATCGATCTTGTAAACAATCTCGTTCAGGTATATATGAACAGTTCCAATCAGGTATACGAATGTAATGTAGTGGAGCAGTCCATAACCAATTTTCATAACCGATAGGATTCGTATTCGGATTGAGAATAACATCGGGCCATGAAGCCATAACACTTAAATTGCCTTTATGATGCCATGGCACCATTGCTCGTAGCCAATCGAATTCCGAACTATTTAGATGAGTTTCTGCCAGACGAACGACTAAACTGTGTCCCACTGGACCCCACCCATGAATGAGTACTCCACATAGGCCAACGCATAGGAATAGAATAGATGTGAAAAACGACATTAATCTATTATTATCTTGAGGTAAATGGGAGATACGAAGTAACTGAGATTCAATAATCGAAAAACAAAAAATAAAAATGCAGCAAATGGTAAAGAACATTTATCGTAATTCAGAAAGAGAAACGAAATTACCTCGCTTGATAAGAAGAAAGGTCAGTCAGCGCCAAGGCAAAAGCGCATAGAATTTGCATTTTTTTTATTTTTCAAATAGAGAGTGATCTTTACTTTGTACTTAATGATAGATACTGTTCAAATTCACTTAAAACGAAATTTTTCTGATGAGACTTAATCCGCTTCAATTATTTTGCCCGAAATCGTGGTCACATTTCAACTATCCAATTGGATACTATCAGGATCAATCGGCATTGGCTAAGAAGTCTGAATTTTTTATAATTCATTCAAACAGATTTCTGCACTATTGAATTTAATTAGCTGAAATTTAATCATATGATTTTGAATCAACCAAATAAGATTGATCGACTTTTGCTAAAAGAAACTTGACTCGATTTGGTAGTTCTTAGTATAAGAAATTTCACATTTGAGGTCAATATTCAGTTATTGACGCATCACTAAACTCTTATTGTAACAACCGAGCATAACGTGTAAGTTGTTGCTTCTCCTCGATTGAAACAAGTGCGATGCCTTTCTCTATCTATTACCTATCCATACTTCTATTATTAGTTTGTCCTTTTCTCGTGCATAATAGAGATAACCGCAATACTCTTTCCCGTTCGTTCTTCTTCTATTTGTGCTTTGGAATAACACGCTTAGTGTATCCTCGCCTCGTACATAGTGTTATCCATAAAAGGAATAACCACAATATCTTTTCTATCCGCTACGCTTATTTCTCTCACCTGTACTTTGGAATCATACTCTCGACGTGTCGTTCTTTCGTACATAGTGTTAACCATAATCGTAATCTAACCTTTGTTCTTCTCTGAATTTGTCCTTAAACCCATATTTTTCTGATATTGTGTTTACTGTATGTGACGATTTTAGATAGAGTAGGCACAGCTCGAGAGCTATTATCCTAATACTTTATTAGTGTAAGTAAAACTGTACGTATACTTTATTTCTCCCGCTCCTTATATACTATTTCTTAGCATAGAAGGACCTTGAAGAATACAGTAAACACAATAACAAAAAAATACGGGTTTAAGGACAAATTCAGAGAAGAACAAAGGTCAGATTACGATTATGGTTAACACTATGTACGAAAGAACGACACGTCGAGAGTATGATTCCAAAGTACAGGTAAGAGAGATAAGCGTAGCGGATAGAAAAGATATTGTGGTTATTCCTTTTATGGATAACACTATGTACGAGGCGAGGATACACTAAGCGTGTTATTCTAAAGCACAAATAGAAGAAGAACGAACGGGAAAGGGTACGGCGGTTATCTCTATTATGCACGAGAAAAGGACAAACTAATAATAGAAGTATGGATAGGTAATAGATAGAGAAAGGCATCGCACTTGTTTCAATCGAGGAGAAGCAACAGCTTACATGTTATGCTCGGTTGTTACAATTATATTTATGTATAGTAGAAACTACATAGTTCAAAGACAGTTGATAAAATAAAAAATTGACAGTCTGTACATTTGTTTAGTCAATATTACAATAAATGAGTACTGGTTGATATGCTCTTCACGAGACATGTAGTTTTCTCTGTAAAAACCTTTCATTATCATCCTACACAAATATGAATATGTTAAATAAACACTATGTAATGTCTCTTTAAATAAAGATTCGAAGAAAAAGAGATTATGCCACTCAACGTGGTAAGACAAATTGTTTGGTAAAACAAGGATATCCGTGAGTGTTGAAGTATGAAGAAAGAATCCTATAGACTGTTCCTGACATTGCAACATTCTCTTGTAGATTTTGTCAACTAGACTGTCAGCTCTCTAGTGGATGCTCGGATCTTAACTGTTGGAGCCTAAAAAATCTTCACCGTTTTCTCTTGTAATTTGACCTTTGATTTCTTGCCACAGACAATGAGATACGCTTAGGCGTTATCACTAAGTGACGGATCATGATAAATGTAAAAGAAGTTTCTTTTTTGTGCCATCAAAGCGGAAAGAAGCGCATCCTTGCTGAAAAACCAAAGGATTGGTTCATATAACACTAAAGTAAAATAAGCGGTATAGCAACAATATCTTTTTAGTTTTGTCAGGATGAATAACCGTTTATTGAATAGGTTACTTTAAGAATTTTTTTATCAATGATTTCGAGACACTCGCCTTTAATGTAGAATAGACACCAACATGGAAAATTATCTAATTAATATAACAGGACAGTCGAATAGCAATAATACTACGTTGTTTTTCTTTTAGCATTTCAAGAGAAGCTTACGAGAGAAGCTTATCAGATGTTTTCATACGATTCTAATGACTCTTTACCTACAAATACTGCACAATGTTCAAATAAAAACCCGTAAAAGATTTGGGTTTTTATAGATATTTTACTAAACTATGAAATTGTTAATGTGACTATTTTCTGGCGGTCTCTGAAGAGTTCGAGGTTTTTGGAAGAATCTTACTTTTGATTTTTCATCTGAATATTTGCACATATGGAGATTTCAACTTAATTAGCTTCAATTAAAAAGTTTAAAAGTTTTCAACAAAACCACTTCGAGATGTGGAACTTTCAAGCTATAAGTTTTTGCACGTATAGTATGCGCACCATGCATTTTTCGAAAGCTTTTTATGTCGAAGAGACTTTGTTCAAAACTTTTGCGTCATTTTTAAGAAAGCTAGTCTTATTGAGTTCACTGTATGCACAAATATTCAGATCGAAATTTGGAAATATGATTTTGTCCTAAGGTCTGAGGTCACATAAAGCCCTTTAGGAAATGGAGATTAAAAACTCGAAAGCTTACGGAAATATCTATGGAAATCCAACTCCTTTTAGGGTTTTCATTATAACACTGCGCAGAATCTATAGGCAAAAAATGGTTGAAATCAGAAGAAGTCATTAGATAGGATTTCTTGGTTAGTTCATAATTATTTGACAGGAGTTTTTCTAATGATTGTGAAGAAAGAGAAGTTTTGAGTGCTGAACAAATCTGGATAGAAATAATACAGGACACCAACGAAATTAAGGTACTGATGAAAAAAGTGAGATTCACTTAATTTTAGTTTCGAAATAGCGAGAAACCTTTTTTTGCTTGAAAACTTAGGTATTGTATTTTTATAATCGCTTTGAAGCAATGGAAATACTAATTCTATATTCTGAAACTGATTTTATCTCAACGTTAGAACACGTGTGGTTTGTCAACGAGTTTAGAATAACCTGCAGGTGTGAATTTGGACAAAGATGGTGTATGTCTGTTCATCACGCGCGTCCACATCAATATTTTCCTAAATAAATTCCATTTCCTATGATTTATAATGTAAGGACGAGATATGATTCTAAACGCTAAGCCCATGTGAAAATTTAAACGAGAAAGTTGGCTTCTAATAGTTACAATAAGAAAAGTTTTCACATGGGACACGGTTATCTATATATGACTTTCTTTCTTAATTAATGATTTCCAGTGAGGAGGAAATAGCTGTATGTGATGTGTCAGTACACGACCTATTTTCTTCTGAGACAGTAATGTAACTTACAAATATACGTTTAATGCGAGCTTTTTTTTTTCTCAAGATATCAACTTGAAGAAAAATCCTGTTTCTCATTATTTTAACTTACATCTCGTAGACAGAATAAATCGAAATGTTGAAACCCTTATATTTCAAAAGCGAATTCCACTCGATTGGCATGTCAATCTTCAAACTCAGTCAAGTCAAAAGAAAATTCGGTTCTATTTTGGAAACTTTTGAAGTCAAGCGGAAGGAAGCTTTATTCAAAATTGGTTTTTGTGGTCTCCTTCATGCTACTATTTGTTGGTGAAGCTGACTCTCGATCTAAAAAATAAGGATTCTTTCACTGCGAGGCACATGCACTATTAATCATCCAAGCACATACTTTGAGAGTACGTCGAATGTCTTCTAAAAAAAAGTTTTGATTGTCACAATCGTGTGAATAATCGAGTCTTTGGCCATATTATTTATTTATTTTCTATTGACCATAAATTTTTTTGCTTTATCTATATGTTCTCTCTTTAACGATAATGGATATTGCTGTCGGAGAACAACTATGAGTTTGAGTTTGACTTTCATTGGAGAGTCAATAAAATCGATGAAGGGGTGATTCGATAAGAAAACTGGTAATCAATCTTTTAGCTGATAATCAATATGTGACGTTCTTTTTCTCTCTATGACTTAATACGATTGTTGATGTAGATGTGAATGTGAGAGCGGTACATGAAAGTAGCTGAAAATAAAATCAAAATCTCACTCATCTGACACTCTTTCGCCCACATCCACCCGCACCCTTGTATACAAAGACACAATTACATGCAGCCAATTGTGTTCTATGGTCAGCAATATAAAATAGGACTAAATTGCTCCATGGAATATTAGGTTTCATTGTAATCTGACCATGCTTCCTATAGTTGAATTTCAAATTTTATTTCCGTTCATGAGTAAAAACCAATACTTTCAAGTTGCGGTGGCATACCTCACATATCGTTTATTCCAATAGTTAGAGTTCGACTGCTTTCAAAGTTATCGATACCGATGAAAAGTGTCAACTTTCGTCGTGATACAACCGATCACTAATTATTACTTTGGCTAACATTAGAAAGAGCCTTGCTCTGAAAAAGAAATATGCAACTTGCTACTGGCTACTTGTTTCAGTTAAGTGCTAAGCTTCTCTAGTAAACAAAATCAAATGAAAACATAGTGTTCTAGTATCTCATGTAGGATTGAATATTATAGCAGCAACAAACAATCTGTCTTAATTCATGTGAAG